CGGCAAGGCTATAAAGTCACTGATGCGGTAAAGAGATTCACACTTTAAGAATTAAATTAAAATCCCCTTTCTCAAGTACGCAAGTGACGCCCGTAAACATAACCTCAAAATATTTCTGGATCCCGATCACTAGCTTATATTATATTTTACAGAATGTAAGTTAAGCTAAGACATACCTCTGGTAAAATTTTCACAATTATCTGTTCATAACTTTTTTGTTTCTTTCTAACAAACGAACAAATGATATCCAGTTAAAGGATAAAACGCACCTCCGGTAAAAAAAAAAAAAAAAAATCAGATAAATCTAGTTATCCTGCCAACGAACAAACAAACTAACCAACGCGACTGAAAACATGACCTTCCCGGAGGTAATAATAAAACAACCAGAGACTTTAGCACAACAAACTATACTGTCCAACCATCAGCAACACACACCACAACCACAGCACAACACACCCACGCAACACACCACCACCACAAACACACACAACACCACACACAACATAACACACCACCAGGAATCTCAGAAATACCCAAGAACCCTCCCCCCCATCCCTCCCTCCACCCAACCCCGACCATACATACGCCGGACGCCCTTATGGCACTCGACGAAACCGAAATCCGAAGAGAAATGCACGAATTCGAGTTCACATGCACGTCGAACTTCCCCCGAAATGGCTGGTACGTAGCAGTCCCGCCGCTCTCATTCCACGAATCGGGAATAGTGGGGGAAGGAACGTCGCATTCCGGTCGGGGGGGGGGGTAGAGAGGCGAGGAGGAGGAGGGGGGGTCGGATGGGTTGGGGGGGAGTTCTGCCGACCGGAATCTGCTGTCGGGAGGAGGGGTAGGGGGGTGGAGGTCTTACTTCCTTTTCTTTGTTGGAGAGGGAAAGGGAGGTGATGGGGAGGGAGAGGGAGATTAGGTGGAACGGTGAAGGGAGAGATAAATGATGGAGAGGTGAGAGAGAGAGAGAGAGAGAGAGAGAGAGAGAGAGAGAGAGAGAGAGAGAGAGAGAGAGAGAGAGAGAGAGAGAGAGAGAGAGAGAGAGAGATTGTGAGATTAAGACTGAGAGAAAGATTGAGAATGATAATGAAAGTATATATTTTAAACAAAAATGAGGAAGAGAGAGATAAAAAAATAAATAAATAAAAATAAAAAGACTTCACACTACTAGCATTTTTTCTTCTATCTTTACAACAGTTTCCCTTCGAATTCCCCCGAGTTCGACCTCCGTTTCCCGTTTTCTGTCAAACCCTTTTCCGTTTTCTCTCACAGAAACACATGTGCGACTTCCACGGGTTTAGTATGGTATTGGTTTGCACTCTGACGCATTTCACTCTGGCTGCTATGGCCGTCGAACGCTTCCTGGGCATCTGTCACGGTTATTTCTACAGCAGGAACGTTACTCCACACAGATGTAGGTGAGTAAAATGAATTTTTTTTCTCTCTTAGCTTTTACATCACGTCCAATTGTAATCAGGTACAGATCTCTATTTGTTTACCTTGTCGGTATGATAGAATGATAATATCTGTGTGTATTTGGAATTTAAAGGCTATTTTCTTATATATATTGTCGGTTCTCTATTATGTAGGCCTATGTGAATGATAAATATGCACTATTACATCGCCTGAACGAGAAGTTTTAGCCCAGACTCGAAACACCACGATTTCATTTCCTTCTCTGATTATCACTATTTCATTCCACGTCAATTTAGTCTCTACTCAAACTGAAAATCAAAATACCAATATCCAACGCTGTTACACTCCCCACCGCCCAAACACACGAGAATCAGAAGCCGTGAATTAAGGTACCCCGTCTCTCCAAAAGCTCTCCGATCCCTAACGCTCTCCGGGTTCAAAGCTCTCTCGTGGATTCTGGGTTATATCCATCACTCGCTGGCAGCAAAACCGACAGTTATTTGAGAGAGAGAGCTTGGTCGGGGGTCGGGGGGTTGGGGTTGGGGGGTATAGCTCTGTCTATCAATAAGGTCTATCGGCAGCGTGTAAAGGGGGAATGCTCTCGCGTTTCCAATGCTCTCACGAAGGCAATGACCGTGAATCTTATGCTTGCTGGGCAGCTTCCCTTTTCTTTCCTGTGTTAATGGAACTATGTTGGTCTTTCCTCGTTCCTGGTCGGTGGCGGCGGCCTTGTATTGAACATTAGATAATTTGTTGGCTATTTGTCTGTATCTGTTTGTCAATGTGTCTCCGTTTATTTGTCAGTCTGCCTGTCTCTGTCTCTGTCTGTCTGTCTCTCTCTGTCTCTCTCTCTCTTCTCTCTCTCTCTCTCTCTCTCTCTCTCTCTCTCTCTCTCTCTCTCTCTCTCTCTCTCTCTCTCTCTCTCTCTCTCTCTCTCTCTCACTCCCTCTCCCTCTCTCTCTCTCTCTCTCTCTCTCTCTCTCTCTCTCTCTCTCTCTCTCTCTCTCTCTCTCTCTCTCTCTCTCTCTCTCTCTCTCTCTCTCTCTCTCCTCTCTTCTGTCTCTCCCTTTATATCTATCCGTGTATCTATCTATCTTTAATAATGATGATAAAAATAATGATATCAATAACAACAGCGACAATGACAAAAGTAATAACGTTAATGATTATAATGTCAATGCTACCATCGCAGAACCTTGAACTACCGATAAAACAACACACGCAAACGGCCCATTCTTTGATAATCACCAACACAACAAGAAAAAAACAACTACTAACAAGGACAACGACCTTGGTACGCAAAGTAGACAGCCATTATGATAATGAATGAGTAATGTGTCAACAGAGACAAATTGATAGAGGAGAGGCCTTTGTGCAACACTGTAGTTGATTATGCAAGTATAAGTCATTAAATTGCATTGAGTCTTTATCAATTGGTGTTTGGGAGGAAGTTTATGAATGAAAGGTATGAATTGTTTACTTGGTTTTGAATTGTATCTTGTTTGCTTTTGTGTTGAAGTGCCGGTGTAATTGTAATTATAGCCATCTATGCAATTATTTGTGTGTTTATGTTTGTACATTTATGTGTGTATAAATGAGAGAGGGAGACAGAGGAGGGGGAGGCAGACAGACAGACAGACAGACAGATAGGTAGACTAATAAAGACTGACAAGCAGACAGACACACAAACAGATAGAAACATAAGATAAACATAAACATAAAGAGATAGACAAATACATAGAGACCGACAGACACATACACAGAAAGACAGAAATTGGCAGACAAACAGACAGACAGAAAGGAGGCAAACAGACAGACGAATAGACAGAGTCATAGATGGATAAAGACAAATAGATAGAGAGAAAGAGGTGGCGTGGGGGGGGGGGTAAGTATCGCGTGGCGGAGCAGAATCACGAAAGTTTTAGATTTGATGAAATGTAAACGCTCGTGACGTAAAAGGTGGTGTCCGGAGGGCGTGGCCGAACTCATTTCCTATAGGTCATTTCACTCAAAAAAAAAAAAAAAAAGAAAAAAGAAAAAGAAGAAGAAGAAGAAGAAGAAATACATATATATAAAATGATGAGAGAGAGGGAGAGAGAGAGAGAGAGAGAGAGAGAGAGAGAGAGAGAGAGAGAGAGAGAGAGAGAGAGAGAGAGAGAGAGAGAGAGGAGAGAAGGAGAGGGAGAGGGAGAAGAGAGAGAGAGAGAAAGAAAGAGAGGGAGAGGGAGAGGCAGAGGAAGAGAGAGAGAGAAAGTGAAAGATAGAGGGAGAGAGGGAGGAAGAGTAGAGTAGAGAGGGAGGGAGAGGGAAAAAAGAGAAGGAAAGAGAGAGAGAGAGAGAGAGAGCGAGAGAGCGAGAGAGCGAGAGAGCGAGAGAAGAGAGAGAGAGAGAGAGAGAAGAGAGAGAGAGAGAGAGAGAGAGAGAGAGAGAGAAGAGAGAGAGAGAGAGAGAGAGAGAGAGAGATAGAGAGAGATAGGGAGAGAGAGAGAGAATAGAAATATATGCAGTCTGTGTTAGATTAAATGACGGATGCATTTACGTCAGTTGGTATGTGTGTCTATCTACATCGTATGTATGCTTATTTGTATCTCTTTCTCTCTCTCTCTTTCTTTCTTTCTTTCTTTCTTTCTTTCTTTCTTTCTTTCTCTCTCTCTCTCTCTCTCTCTCTCTCTCTCTCTCTCTCTCTCTCTCTCTCTCTAGCCTTCAAACTAAATATTTGTTTATCTGTCTGTTTACCTATGTGCGTGCGCGGGTGTATTTCTATGTTTGTATCTGTGTCTGTGCCTCTGTCCCGTCTGTCTATGTATGTGCCTATGTCTCTCTCTGTCTATATAAAAGAAGAAAACAAAGAGAAAGATATTCCTTCTTCAGTCTCATTAAAAAAAATCGACTCGTTCAAACAGGAGTTACTCTCGTCAGTATGAAGAACATAGCGGGGAATTGAGGGTTGCGGATGTGTTCAGTAAAGCTGTTTAAGTAGCCCCTGATATGCTCATAGGGAATACGATGGTCCTATAACAGTATAAATACGAATACACAATTGCACACACGCATACACTTACTCTCACTCTCACGCACGCTAATTAATCAGTTCAATCAGTCACATACGAACACACACACAGGCACACACACACAAAACACAAACATACAAACACATTTATATCTAACCGGAAAAGACGGTGACAAATGTAGGCCTATAAAATTGTATGTCTGTTACCTTATATGTCTCTTTGTGTCTATCCTTTTTATCCTCAAATAGATCCATCTGTTGTTAAATCAACCCAACAAGGTAATCTTCAGTTTCTGCTTCGGATTAATCAGCTGAAAACGATAATGATTGTGAAATTTTTTAAAATGATAACAATAAGGATGAATTATGACGATAGGAGCCATAATGACAATGATAATGAAGATAATGATGATTATGATAAAGATAAAGATAATGATGGTAGTAATTATAATTATGATTGTAATTAAATTTATAATTACGATTATGACAAATAATAATGATATTGAAAGTAATAGAAATAGCAATGATGATAACAATGATTATGATGATGATAATGATAATGATGTCAATG